CCCTCTAACTCTCACACCTGTCTCTCTCACTGCCCCTCCTGGCTCACCACTGCAACTCTGACTACCCTCCTACTCACCACCACAGCAACTCTCACTGCCCCTCCTGCTCACTGCAGCTCTCACTGCCCTCTACTCACTACCACTGCAGCTCTCTCACTACCTCTCTACTCCTTCCACTGCAGCTCTCTCACTACCTCTCTAACTCACTACCACCAGCTCTCACTGCCTCTCTACTCACTACTGCAGCTCTCTCACTGCCTCTCTTTCACTGCCACTGCGGCTCTCTCCTTGACCCCTCTAACTTTCACTACCACTGCAACTCTCTCACAGCTTTCTGCAGCTTCTCTGTCCCTCTGCTTTCACTGCCACTGCAGCTCTCTTGCTACCTCTCTAACTTTCTGTCTCTGAGGCCTCTAACTCACTACCCCAACTGTCTCTCTGCCCTCTCACTCCAGCTCTCTCACTGCCCAACTCCGTTAGCTCTCCCTTTCTGGCTGGCTTCCATGCACTCCTTTGACTCACTGCCACTTTGCTCTCTCAGTCTGCCCTCCTTGCTCCTTCTTGCAGCTGTCTCACTGCCCTCTGGCTTTCTGTCTCACACTCATTGCACTGCACTGCTCTGGCTCACTGCAGTTGCACTGCATCTCTGGAGTCACTACCACTCAGCTCTCTCCTCAGTGCCACTCTCACTGCCACTCTCTCCTGCCCTCCCCTTTCACTACTACCCTGCTCTCACTGCCTCCTTTCTCACTCTCCTTTCTTTCTTGCCTCTGCAACTGCCTTTCACTTTGGCTCTGCCGTCTGGCTCACTGCCATAGCTCACTGCACTCTCTGGCTCACTGCCACTGTCTCTCACTGTCCCAGCTCTCTCACTGCCCTCTAACTCACTACCACTGCAGATCTCGCTGCATCTCTGGCCTGGGTTGCGAAATGCGCTCTCTGACTGCCTCTTGGGCTGTAACTGGCTTTCCACTGCAGCTCTCTGGTTGCACTGCGTCTCTCTTAACTCACTACCGACTGCAGCGTTTCTCTCACTCTCTCTAACTCACTATTGTAGCTCTCTTCCTGCCTCTCTTTCACTACCGCTGTGGCTCTCTCTGCCTCTGCTTTACCACTGCAGCTCTGTCTCTCTACCTCGCTCTGGGCTCTCTTTTTTACCTGCAGCTCTCACCTCTCTGGCTTTCACTTTCCACTGCCCAGCTCTCTCTTATCCCTCTCAACTTTCCTGCCACTTTCGCTCTCACTTCTCACTGCTTGAGAGACCCTCTGTCTCTCAACTCTCCTCTAGCTTTCACCTGTTTCTCCCTCTAACTCACACCACTCTCTCCTGCCCCTCCTCCAGCTCTCTCCCTTACCTCCAGCTCCCACTGCTTAACTCTCTGCCCTCTAACTGACTACCTTTCTCTCACTGCCTCTAGCTCTCAATTCACCCACTTTCACTACCCCTCCTTTCCACTGCTCTCCTGCCTCCTAACTCTCTCACTCTCCTTTCACCACTCTCTCCTTTCTCTCTCCTGGCTCACTGCCATGCAGCTCTGTCACTGCCCTCCTTTCAAACCACCTCTCACTGCCCTCCTGGCTCACTCTCTCCTCTTTCGTGAACAGCCACATTCCAGACTCCTGCAAACATCTGGCTGCCAGTGGCTTTCACCAGCCAGTCTCCTGCCCCTCCAGCTCACTACCTGCAATTCTCTCACTGCCTCTAGCTCACTGCTGCACCCAGCTCTTTACACCTCTGTTTCACTGCCACTGCAACACTATCACTGCCTCTAACTCACCTGTAACTCTCCCACCCCTGCTCCTCCCACTCTCACTACCTCTCCTTTCACTACCACCCATCTTTACCCTCCTAACTCACACCACCCAGCTCTACCTCTCACTGTCTCTTAGGCCCTCCTAACTACCACTGCCCTCTAGCTCTGCCATAGCTCTCTGTCTCGCTGCGACTGCGAAATATCGCGCACTCTCACTGCCGCCGTGGCTCTGCCTCCTGGTTGCGCTGCATCGCTGCCGCTGCTGCCGCCGTCTGCAACTCACTGCCACTGCGGCTTTTTATACGCGCATCTCTGTCGCAGCCGCGCGACGCCGCTGCGCTCTGGGGCTCACTGCCGCGCGGCTGCGCCGACTGGCTGCGCCGCGGCTCTCTCGCGCATTACCAAGCCTCTGCTGCCGCTGCGATATGCTGCGCCGACAAAACACCGCAGCGAAATATACTCCTGCCCACTCCGGCTCGTTGCCGCTGCTTCTCTGCATCTCTTTCACCACCCTCCTGCAGCTCTCACGACCTCTCTCACTGCACTGCCGGCTCTCTCACTGCTTTCTACCACTGCAGCTCTCTCACTCTCTAACTCACTACCTGCAACTCTCTCAGGCCCATCTGTGCTTTCACTCTCTCACTACCCTCTAGCTCACTACCACTGTAACTCTCACTGCCTCCCTCTCACCTCTAGCTCCCACTACCACTGCTTGGCTCTCACCTCTCTAACTCACTGCAGCTCTCTCTGCCCTCTAACTCGCTACAGCTCTCTCACTGCCTTCCTGTCACACAGCTCTGCCTCTGGCTCCACTGCAGCTCACTACCACTCCTCTGGCTCCTTTCTCCCTCACGACACTATCCAGCCCTCTGTCACCCCCTCCTGGCTCTTTCACCCAGCTCTCTTAGGCCTCCTAACTCCTAAAACTGCAGCTCTCTCACTGCCTCTAGCTCACTGGCTCTCACCTCACTACTTTGCCCTCTCCCACTCTCTCTCCCTCTTTTGCATGAATATCGCTCTGACTGGCTGCTGCAGCAACATTCTGGCTCACGCTTTACCATATATCTGCCCTCGGCTCACTGCCCGCAAACGAGCCTCCTTTCTGCCGCGGCTCTCTCTGGCTTTCACTGCCTGGCTCTCTCACTGCACTCTCTGTTTAAAACTGCCAGCTCTGCCTGCCCTCAGCTCACTAACACGCAGCTCCCCAATGCCCTCTCAACTCAATGCTGCTGCTTCTCACTGCCCTCTCTTTCTATAACTCTCTCAATGCCCTCTAACTCCTCCAGCTGCAACTCTCACTGCCCTCTGTTTGCTCTCACTGCCCTCTAGCTACTCACTTGCCCTCTGGCTTTCTGCAAATTATATACTTGTCTGACTCCTTTGCCACTATAATATCAGTAGCATCTCACTGCAGGCTCTCTGCCTCCTGGCTTTCAGTCTCTCCTCTGGCTCCCACCCTCAACCAGCTTTCTCACCACTCTCTGCAGCTCTGTCCGCCACACCTCCTGCTTTCACTGCAACATTATCACTGCCCTCAACTCACTCTCACTCCTCTAACTGCTTTCTCTCACACCTCTAGCTCTCTCTCCTCTAACTCACACTGCCCTCTGCCCTCAGTTCACTGCTTCATCTCAACACTGCTCACTCTCACTGCATCTCTCCTGGCTCTCACTGCCCTCTGGCTTGTGTGGTCACCCGTCTGGCTTTCACTGTGTCTGCTGCTTTCACTGCAGCTCTGTCACTGCATCTCTGGTTTCACTCAGCTCTCTCTGCTTTCACTGCAGCTCTCACTGCCTCTAGCTCACTTGCAGCTCTCTCTGGCCTCTGTCTTTGACTGCTTTAGCTTTCACTGCCCTCCTTTTTCTTTCTCTAGCTCTTACCTCTGGCTTTCTTTCTCTTTACTCTCCTTTCTCTGTGGCTCTTTGCACTGCCCTCTGCTCTGCTCTCTATTCTGTTGCAGTATCAGGACCGTCTGCGGCTCTCGTGGCCTCTGGCTTTCTGCCACTGTAATGCCCTCCTGGCTCTAGCACTCTGCTGCCGCTGCGTCTCACTTTAACTGCTTCTCACTACCTCCCTGCTGCTTTCACTGCTCTTTTACTGCAGCTCTGTCACTGGCTCTCTGCTTTCTGCCGCCAGCCTCACCCCTCTGGCTCTGCTTTGCTGCCCTCTGCTCAATGCCTGGCTGTCTGCTCCTGTCGCTGCCATGCTGTCTCTTCTCTCCTGCGGCTCTCCCCTCCTGGCTTTCCTGACCACTGCAGCATCTCTCTGCAGCTCTCTCACTGCCTCTGGTTTTCACTGCAACTCAGCTCTCTCACTCTGCTTCCACCCTGCTCTCACTGCCTCCTGGTACACATCTCACTGCCTCTTGGCTCACTGTGCTGGCTCTGTCTCACTGCCACTGCATCTCAACTCACTGCCACCTGGCTCACTGCCTCCTCACTTTCTGCAATCTCCTCTCTGTCTGCAACGACTCTCACTGCCCTCCTAATGTCTGCAGCTCTCTGCCTCTCAACTCACTACCTCTGCAGCTCTCTCCAGGCCTCTGTTTCACTACACTGCCTCTCCTAGCTCACCTCTAACTCACTGGCTTTCTCCCCTCTAGCTTTCCCCAGCTCTCTACCTCTATTTTGCTCTCAGGCCCTCTTTACCCCTCCTTTCTGTCGTCTGTCACTGCCCTCCTTTACTGGCTCTCCCTCTGTTTCACACTGCCACTGTGGCTCTCTAGCTCACTTCCCTGTAATCTCGGCTCTGTCCTCTGGCTCTGCCTCTGGCTCACTGCCACTGGCTCTTACTGCCCTCTGCTCACTACCATGCAGCTCTCTCACTGCCTCTTGTTGTTGGGTCTTTCACTGCTTTCTTGTTAAATCACTGCTCTCTCACTGTTTGTCTCTCTTGCCTCTGCTGCCCTCTGTTGCTCTCTGCAGCTGATTACTTCTGCTGTGGCTGCTTCCCATCTGTCTCTGCCAGTGCTCCCTCCAACTCACTGCTGGTTCTGGGGTTGGTGTGGCTCTGGCTTTCTCTGCCGTTGGGGGTCTTGTCCTGCCTCTATCTCGTTGCATTTCAATGCCACTGCCGTAAACACCCCTCTGTCCTGCTGGTTTTGGCTCTGATTCTAGCTCGCTTGCTGCGGCTCTTGCTGCCCTCAACTCGCTTCCACTGTGGCTGGCCTTGGCTGCGCTTGTACTGCCGGCAGCTCTGCTGCGATCTCTTGTCACTGCCGCTGCAGCTCTGCTACTGGCTCTGGCTTTAACTGCCTCTGCGGCTTTCTACTGCACTCCTTGCTCGCTGCATGCTCTGCGCTCTCTGGCTCACTGCTGCTGTTGATTGCTCTTTCTTAGTCCTGCTACTGCACTTTGAGTTCTGCATCTCTTTCTCTTTCTGCATTTGAGGCTCTGCCTCCTGGCTCCTGCCTGCATCTCGCCCGCCACTGCAGCTCTCTGTGCCCTCTTGCTCACTGCCTGCAGCTGTCTCACTGCATGGCTCTGCCCTCCTGACTGCAGCTCTCTCACTACCTCTCTGGCTCACTACCACTGCTTTCTGCGGCCTCTGGCTTTCACTACCACTGCAGCTCTCTGCCTCTACTCTGACTGGCTCTTCCTGTAGCTCTGACTCTCCTTTGGCTCTGCAACTCTCTAGGCTCTTACTGCCCTCCCACTGCCTCCTTTCCTTTCTCTGCTCTCTGACTCCAGCTCTAATGCGCTCGTTTCTGCCCAGCTCTCTGCTCAGTGCATCTGCTAACTCCCCTTTCTGTCGCCTCTGCTCGCTACCGCTGCGGCTCTGGGCATATAACTCACTGCTGCAGTTATATCTCTGCCCTCCTGGCCACTGCCGATTTGTCTCTCTTTTGACTGCCTCTCTGGTTTTCTGCAGCTCTCCTAAACTCACTGCCACTGTGGCTCTTTAGCTCTCACTGCCTCTTTCACTTAGCTCACTGCCTCTACTCACTGCCAATCAGCTCTGGTGCAATTGCTGGCTCATCTCACGGCTGCCTCCTCGGCTCTGCTTTCTGCCAATGCAGCCGTCTGCTCTCTGCTGCCTCTGCTGCTGGCTCTACTGCCGCGGCTCTGGCCTCCAGCTTGCTTTGCCACTGGGCTCTCTCAGTGCTCTGCCGTCGCGGCTCTCTGCTCGCGTCTCGCCTGCTGTTTTCAGCATGCTCACTGGCGTCATCTCACTGCCGCGTGGTCTCACTGCCCCTGCGCTAGGCTCTGGCTCATCAGCTCTGCTGCCCTCCAGCTTTGCCTTTGGCTCTGCTGCGTCTGGCTGTTCTGTGACTCTGCGCCTGCTCGCTGCCTCTGCCTGCGCCTGACGCTGCGCTCGGCTGTGCTGCGCTCCTGGCTCTGTGCGTGCGGCTCTCTGCGCCTGGCTCACTGCTGCTGGAGGTTCTCGTGCGGTCTGTCTCACTGTCACTGCAGTCTCTCTCTGCCTCCTGTTTCACTGCCACTGCAGCTCTGGCTTTCTCTGGCACTGAGTCTCTCTCTAGCTACCATGCTCTCACTACCTCTCTGCTTTCACTACTGCAGCTCTCTCTGCACTCCTTTCACTGCAGCTCTGCCTCTCTGCTCACTTCACACTCTGCAGCTCTCAGGCCCTCCTGCTTTCACTGCAACTCTCACTACCTCTCTAACTCACTGCAGCTCTCTCACTGCCCTCTCTTTCACTACACTGCAGCTCTCTCACCCCTCCCTTTCTGCAACTCTCTCACTCCTTTCAATGCAGCTCTCTCAGGCCCTCTGGCTCACTGCACTGCAATCTCTCACTGCCACTCCTGGCTCTGCCATGAGTGTCACTGCCTCAACTCACTACCTGGCCCACTGCCTCTCCTCACTGCCTCTCACAACTCCCTACCACTGCAGCTCTGTCACTGCCCTCTCGCTCACTACCACTCTCACTGCCCTCCCTTTCTTTCTCCTACCCTCTGCTTTCACTACCATGCAACTACCTCTCTACCTCTCTCAGGCCCTCCTTTCTGCAACTCTCCCTCGTCCCACTGCCTCTAGCTCACTACCCTCTCCTCTCACTACTGCTGTGTCTCTGCCCTCCTCTGGCTCACTGCCTCCTGGCTGCTGCCACTGTGTCTCACCCCTCCTTTCACTGCAAATTGCAGCTCTCTGCCTGGTTCACTACCAACTCTCTCACTTCCTCTCTCACTGCACTGTCGCTCTCACTGCCCTCCTTTCTGTGGCTCTCTCACCTCTCCCTTTACCTGCAGCTCTTACTGCCTCGCTTTCACTGCAGCTCTGCTGCATGGCTGCCTCTCTCACTACCACTGCAGCTCTTTACCTCTCTGGCTCACTGCCGCTGCGGCTGCGCCTGGCTTAACTGCCGCGGCTCTGCATCTGGCTTCCAGCTGCGCTCTCCTGGCTTTCACTGCTGCTGGCTCTCGCTGCCGTCTGGCTTTCACTGCATACTGCAGCTCTGCCTCTCTGGCTTTCTGCGGCTCTGCTGCATATACCAACTGCCAGCTCTCTCCTGCCCTCTGGCTTTCCCTGCCACTGCAGCTCTGCAGCTCTCTCTGGGCCCTTTCACTACCGCAGCTCTCTTTACCTCTCGCTTTCTTTCTGCGGCTCTGCCCTCCAGCTCACCACTGCAGCCTGCCCCTCTGGCTCATTGCAGCTCTCTGGCTCTGCCACTGCGGCTCCTCGGGCCCTCTGGCTTTCACTGCTGCTGCGGCTGCCCGCCAGCTGCTGCCACTGCATCTCTGCTGCGCCAGGCTCACTGCCGCCGCGTGCTGCCCCACTCCAGCGCCACTGCCGCGATATGCTGCGCGCTCTCTGGCTCACCTCTGGCTCACTGGCTCTGACCCCTCACTGCAGCTCTGCCTCTCTTTCACTGCATCTCAGGCCTCCTCACTGCAACTCTCACTGCCCTCCTACTCTCTCCTGCCCTCCTGCTCTCCTCTCTATACCCTCCTTTCACCCACTGTCTCACTGCCCCTCCTTTCACTCTCACTACCCTCTGATTTTCTGTGCTCTCTCTCCCACCACTGCCCTCAACTCTGCCCTCCTGTCTGCGGCTCATACACTCTCAACTCACTACCGCTGCAGCTCTTTCCACTGCAGTTACGCATCGCTTACCACTGCCTCCTAACTCACCGCTTACAGCTCTCTTTCACTGCTGCTGGCGAAGCCGCCTGGCTCTGCCATATCGCTTTCACTGCCGCTGCAGCTGCCTCTCGCTTTCACTGCCGCTGGCAACGCTGCGCCTGGCTCACTGCCTGCGGCTGCTGCACTCTCCCTGCTGCGCGACCTGCCACTCGCAACTCTGCGCTGCTGCAGCTCTCACTGCGCCTCGGCTCGCCTGCACTCGCGTGGGCCGCCTGGCTCCACTGCCGCGGCTCTCTCGCTGCGCATCTCTGGCTCACTGCCGCCGCGATATCCATCTCTTTTCTTTCTGTCTCTTTTTCTCTTTCTTTTTTTTTTTTTTTTTTTTTTTTTTTTTTTTTTTTTTTTTTTTTTTTTTTTTTTTTTTTTTTTTTTTTTTTTTTTTTTTTTTTTTTTTTTTTTTTTTTTTTTTTTTTTTTTTTTTTTTTTTTTTTTTTTTTTTTTTTTTTTTTTTTTTTTTTTTTTTTTTTTTTTTTTTTTTTTTTTTTTTTTTTTTTTTTTTTTTTTTTTTTTTTTTTTTTTTTTTTTTTTTTTTTTTTTTTTTTTTTTTTTTTTTTTTTTTTTTTTTTTTTTTTTTTTTTTTTTTTTTTTTTTTTTTTTTTTTTTTTTTTTTTTTTTTTTTTTTTTTTTTTTTTTTTTTTTTTTTTTTTTTTTTTTTTTTTTTTTTTTTTTTTTTTTTTTTTTTTTTTTTTTTTTTTTTTTTTTTTTTTTTTTTTTTTTTTTTTTTTTTTTTTTTTTTTTTTTTTTTTTTTTTTTTTTTTTTTTTTTTTTTTTTTTTTTTTTTTTTTTTTTTTTTTTTTTTTTTTTTTTTTTTTTTTTTTTTTTTTTTTTTTTTTTTTTTTTTTTTTTTTTTTTTTTTTTTTTTTTTTTTTTTTTTTTTTTTTTTTTTTTTTTTTTTTTTTTTTTTTTTTTTTTTTTTTTTTTTTTTTTTTTTTTTTTTTTTTTTTTTTTTTTTTTTTTTTTTTTTTTTTTTTTTTTTTTTTTTTTTTTTTTTTTTTTTTTTTTTTTTTTTTTTTTTTTTTTTTTTTTTTTTTTTTTTTTTTTTTTTTTTTTTTTTTTTTTTTTTTTTTTTTTTTTTTTTTTTTTTTTTTTTTTTTTTTTTTTTTTTTTTTTTTTTTTTTTTTTTTTTTTTTTTTTTTTTTTTTTTTTTTTTTTTTTTTTTTTTTTTTTTTTTTTTTTTTTTTTTTTTTTTTTTTTTTTTTTTTTTTTTTTTTTTTTTTTTTTTT